ACAGCTGGAGCCTGTTCCCAGTGTGCGCATGCAGAGTTGCCAGACGAAGGGAACAGCTAAAGAACCTGGGAGTAAGGCCACAGGTGGATGGTGAATGCCCCCTCCCATAGGGAATAAAAGAAGAGGAAAGGGGAGTGGAGTTTGCAGGAGACAATTAATTCACTTAATTAGTGTGAAGATTTGTTCATGACTCTGAGACTCTGCCAAGTATTTTCTTGTATAGCATTGTGTTTGGAAGATATCAACCTGGCAGCTCTCCAAGCCTGATAAGGTTTGTGATTGTAAATACACCCTTGAAAGACTGTTTGCCGGGACTTTGCTGGATGTGAATGAGAGGGATTCACATTAGTTTAACAAAAAGGGGTTTGGTTGGGACAAGGAGGCTGCTTTGTGATTTGGTGAAGTCTAGGTCAGAAGAGATCAGTCACCAGCACCAGATTTTGTCTTCTGAGCTCTCAGACTCATCAGTCAACAGCAGTGCTGATTTACACACACCCCAGCTAATCAAGTACAGGTAGTCCTTGACTTACAACAGTTTCTTTAGCGAGGTCACAACGGCACTGAAAAAAATAACCTATGACCATTTTTTACACTTCTGACCACTGCAGCGTCCCCATGGTGACATGATCAAAATGATTGGTAACTGATCCGTATTTATGTCGACTGCCGTGTCCCGGAGTTGCGTGGTCCCCTTTTGTGACCTTCTGATGAGAGAAGATGATGGGGAAGCCTGATTCACTTAATAGCCATGTTACTAACCTAACAACTGCAGCATTTCACTTAACAACTGGGGCAAGGAAGCTTGTACAATGGGGCAAAATTCACTTAATAATTTTTCACTTTAACTGCAGGAATTTGGGGCTGAATTGTGGTCGTAAGTGAAGGACAACAGGTAGTCCTTGACTTACAACAGTTCATTTAATGACTGTTCAAGTTCATAACACCACTGAAAAAAGTGATCACGTTTTTTCCCCACTTACAACTGTTAACAACATCCCCATGGTTAACGTAATTAAAATTCAAATGGTTGCCAAGTGGTTCATATTTATGACGGCTGTCATGTCCTGGGGATGGGTGGGCCACATGATCCCCTTTTGCGACCTCCTGACAAGCAAACTCCATGGAGAAGCTAGATTCACTCAAGAATCGTGTTACTAAACTTAACAAATGCCATGATTCCCTTAACAACTGTGGCAAGGAAAGTCGTAAAATGGGGCAAAACTCGCTTAACAAATGTTTCACTTTGCAATATAGATTTTGGGCTCCGTTGTGGCCGTAACTCAAGGACTACCTGTTTCTGTATTTAGGAAGCAATGATTTGGCAGCACAAGGAAATCACAGCAAAAGACTTAATAGCAAGCCACAAACACCCCATTCAACAACTAAAAAGCCACACACAACAGACACCACAACAATTGTCTGCTAGAGAGAAGATTCCTGAGGACAGGCTCCAGTACAAGCCCAAAAGCTCGGAAGGGAAAAACTTTGGTCCCTCCCGGTCATCAAATCCAGATTAGAGCTTGCAAAATTATCCTGGGACATACACGTTTGCCTTCAATTGTGAGAATTGTATTTTTTTTTNAAATCGTGGTGCAGCTTATATTCAGGTGCGTCTTATAAGTATAATCTTTATTGTTATTGTACTTAAATACAACGAAATTGGTTTATACTCTGAAAAATACGGTAAGTAAATACCATCTCTGGCCACAGCCAAGTAGTCGGCCATGGTCCACAGGCTGGGGGCCCCTGCATTAAAGGACCAGTTTTAAGTCACGTGCATTCGATACTGTCATTAACGCTACGGATCATAACCCAAGGACTAACTGTGGTTTACTCCATCACCATTGCCCTCTCCTAGGTTATGTCTAAGGGGCCTTCATCCTTTCAGAAAACAAGGGGAGGCAGAGGGTTGTGGGTATATAATGCTAAGGAAGGATGGAGTAAATTGGTAGCCCAACGGCAGTAAGTCATTTTAATTAGTGTAGAGCAGTGATGGTGAATCTTTTCGGCACCGAGTGCCCAAACTGGAACGCACAATCATACGTGTGCATGTGCATGCCTGCGCATGTGTGCTGGAGTCCGGAAAACTCAAAGCCCAGCTGGCTGGTGCGTGCATGCCTGTATTTTGAGCCATTTTCAGGCCCCTTGTTCGGCGAAAAATGCTCAAAAAGTGGGCATTTTTCGTGCTGTTTTCAGGCTGATTTTGGGGCCATTTTCCAGCTGTTTTCCAGCACTCCAGCACCCAGAAAGATCAGCTGGCTGGTGCGCATGTGCCTGCTGGAAACCAGAAGAACAGCTGGTGACGGCGCCCCCCCCCCGCCCCGCTCACAGTGAGAGCTCTGTGTGCTACCTCTGGGTACATGGGCCATAGATTTGACATGACGGGTGTAGGGTGTTCTCATGAACGGTTGTGCTCCATCTGAGAGCAGGCATAGCCTTAAAATCAAATATCTTCCGACTTCTAGAGTGCTTTCAAACGACAGCGTAGGTAGTCCTCACTTAGTGACCACAATTGGGATTGGCACCCCTGTTGCTGAGCAGTCATTCAGTGAGTGCAATGGACTTTTAAATCAGTTCGGTGGTGGTCATTAAAGCCATAATTAAAAGTCGCCGTGAGTAGGCGGTTTTTAAAATTTTCTAAATGAAAATAGAAGTCACAGCAGGTTGTTAAGGACAACTTCACATAAGGGCAAATTGTAATTTAATGGGACCGTGAAGTCTGAGAACTATGGGTGTTACGACCTTGTAAATGGTCTGCTTCTTCATTTCAAGTTGTATTTACTTATTTCCCCGATTCCAGCAAGCAGCTTCGGTCCAGCCCCTTCAAATCTATAAGGTAAAGGTAAAGGTTCCCCACGCACATGCATGCCAGTCGTTCCCGACTCTAGGGGGCGGTGCTCATCTCTGTTTCAAAGCTGAAGAGCCAGCACTGTCCGGCATGACTCAACGCCAAAGGTGCATGGAACGCTGTTACCTTCCCACCAAAAGTGGTTCGTTTTTCTACTTGCAT